AGTGCACACGCAGGGAGCTACTCATGATCAGGTTGGGGGATTAGGTTAAACAGAGGTTGATGATTGGTCACTGTTCGTACGGTCGCTGCACACAGAGTTATACGGCCGCACCTCCCAATCCTGGCGAGCAGACATGCAGGCATACGATGACGCACACAGCGATAACGTGTCCCACATGTCTCATTTATTTATTTCATTCAAAAATTCGCTTTCACCTAGCTTTCCTCATCTCAAATTTGCTCTTTTATGTGTATTTAAAAGTAATTAAGTAGTCATTATTGTTTATTATATGAAATCAATATTTGTAGGGCTGGGTGTGCGATAGACTTACCTCCACGTGGTGCAACCTGGGCAACGTATACTCATATGACAAAAAAATCTATTATTCGGCAGTTGACTTCTCACTTCAAACTACCATCACCCCACTCTATGCCATATTCGACTATTTTCACAGTACTCACCTCACCTTTGTTCTACCTTTGTGTTCGTCTCTTACATCTTTGAAACACTCCTCTCTTCCCCCTCTCGACTTTTTTCAAGTTGATGTTCCTCCCCCTCTGTGAAGCCTGAAGGCAACTAAAGGGCTAATGATAACCATCAAGACGCCTGCCATTTGATATAAATAATTAAATATTTGTAGGGCTTTATCGGGTGAAAATGTGCCCTCATCTCATCTTACTTAACTAGACATCATGTGAGCATAAGATTAGTGGACAACGAGTCTCTCAATACTCCGAGCAACACGAAATATCGTCCAAATAGCCCGAATTCAAAGTTCAAATAGGGTAATTTGACGTTTTTCTGATTACATCTTCCAAAGCAATCCAAAGCACTCTAGTGGTTATATTTTTTTGAACAAACTAAAATTTCAAAGAAAGGAAAAAATTATTTTCTTTTACACCGCACCTTAAAATGGAAATTTATTTGAGAACATTGAGGAGAACACAACGCTAGAATGGCGGAAGCAAGTAATCTAATGAGAGCTAGAAGGTTATGGAACGGGCAGAGTGCTACTGATCACGCAGACATTATGTGCAACTGTGTTGCTGCTGGTCTCATTGTGGATCAAGTGCAGTGGTAAGTGCAATATCTCCCAGCCAATCAATTATCATTGTCTATGGCACGGTCAGCATAACCAAAATTGTGTTTTCCGAAAAAGCTACTTGTCAATGGCACACAACCCAATTATCATATGTCCGTTTCATCTACGTCGTTGAGATAACTTAGCCCACTTCGAGATCTTGGCATCCCGTTTACTGAGGCTTAATCAAGGCCTATATTCAACACTCACCGTCTGGATATTGGTGGCAAGTAAAAGGAACCAAATCGCAAGAATACTTTATTTGAAGATATCTCCATAAACAAGTCAAGGCTTATTCCTGTAGCCATCAGCCTCACGTTGTCCTCAGCCATACTGAACCTACTCAAAAATTTTCATATCTTATTCCTTTAGATTCATTTTCAAGGTGACAATAGATTAGACCTTTTAGTTCTTTCACAATCACAACAATTATCATTGATATAATAATATCTTAATGGGTGACGGTCTAATGAAGGGATATAATATAATTAAACGGCTTGATTATCTTTATGAGCACGGAAAGTGGCCCAAGAAAATTGAGTGATAATGACGGTGATTTCGAGTGACCATCTTGGCACCGATTTGGAATTCAGTTGATTATCCAACAACAACAACACTAACTGGTCCCCGCTTTCTCTCAAGTGTGTACATACTGGCCTACAATTGTGAAAGCTTGAAAACTATCTTCTGTGCTCTCACAATCTTCTAGTAATCAGAAGATAATTAGAAAAATTGTGTAATTCCAGATTAGGTTGACTAACCTTCATATTGTTAACCCCTAATCAAAAACCCTGATTAGTGTTTGAACACGTCTTCGAATAAAAGTTATAGGCAAAAAAGGCCTCTGCGTAATGCCCACTTTCTGATAGGTTCCTTCTTTGGTGACACCTGTTTTTTTTCTTAAATCTTAAAATTGCGAATACTCGCAGTAATCTATTAGAAAACGCTTGCTCACATTCAACACCATTGTCAGTTGACCTGATGTCTAATTCAGTTATCAAAATTTATGAAAATTTTAGATCACAGTCAAAGGTAAATGAGCCTGCTCTTTTATTTATTTGATTACAAAATTATTGACTGTTACCTTATTAAACATCAAACTCCCAGTAATTGCTTATGCTCCACTTGTAATAGGGATTATCATGTTCACCAAACCACAGAGCCAATTAAAATAATGATTGAATGTTACATGCATGCGTTTACTTACATGAGCATTGTGATTGGCTATGAGGTGTAGCCTATGTGTCCGATATGGCTTAGCGAATCCATTCGTCAAATGGCAGAGAGGCATCAGAATGCGAATATCAGGAAGACCTAGGATAAAAATTTTCACAACCTGCAAGCAAAATGCTGGGATTATTATTAAACTGTTCCTGCTGTCTCTATTTGTGGTAGATCTTAGCTATTTATTCGTTGAGCATCGATTGAAAACGTACGTTTTCTCCTACCTTACCTCAAAGTTCGCGTCTCCAATTTCCTTTGGCGATTATGACAGTTGTGAAAAGGAAAGCTGGTGGTTCAATTTCAATGGCAGCGGATCAAAATCATGGCAAAGAATATTGAAGGAAGAAGAAGAGTTTCCACTCGCATATACAATCATGGCATTTGAACGACCCGATCAAGTAGGTTATTTTTTGTAATTAAAAAGTAGAATATTTTATAAATGCCCCGAGTTATCAGAAAATGACCGGTTAAGAGGCAATTATTGTTATTTTCCTTGAGAGTTCACTTAACAATTTGTACTTTTTTTATAAGTCAATGAGTCTAATAACATCTTGCTCACTGTTAAGCCATTCATCTGATTACAAATTTAGCCGATTGTGATTTTGATAAAAATCGATAAATCGAAACTCATTTCTGGGTCGGAAAACAGGACTGTGGTAAAGCGTCGATGTTTAATAGATCCACCTAAATTAATTTCAACTGGCAAATTAGTTGCCAATGCCACATAAATTCATTTACATATTGTTGTCTTGAATAGGTAGACAATACAAACTGCAATTTTTCTTTTCCATGTCCAAGTGGTTATATTTCACTCTCACTTGTTTGTATTTGAAAATAAAAGTGGGTCTTAATTCAATTTTATTTGTTCGCGCGTTTACATTAGTCATGCTAGTTCAAAATATTGTTTTTGTAGTAAATTATCGGTTGTTATTCTCACTTGATATTTATCATGTGATGTAAAATTTTCGCTCACAATTTACTAAAACAAATGAAACTGCTATTGACCGCGCCCACCTAAAATTATCAATGACAACTCCGGTTTCATTTTTGTAGGTATGGCGTCTATTGAGATCGGTATATCGACCTCAGAACTATTACTGCATCCACTTCGACAGAAAAAGCCCTGAACTACTTAAAAAGTGGCTTCTTCGCAAGATTTCTACCTGCATTCCAAAGGAGATGGCGAAAAACGTCTTTTTTATTCCATCTATTGCTGTTTATCACTCCTATATGTCCGTTCTTGAAGCTGATCTCGCGTGTATGCGAGAGTTATGGAAATTACCCAACAAGCAATCTAATTCTACTTCTCCCCCGTGGAAGTATCTCATAAATCTCACTGGACAGGAGTTCCCCTTGAAGAATAACCTTGAATTAACACGGATTCTGCGCGTTCTTAATAACGCCAATCTCATTCAACAAAATAAGTGAGTGAGAGATTTGACTTAAATGTACTCAGACTCTATCGCACACATACTGAAAAATTCCTAAAACGAAGTGAGCGCTCTGACATCAATCCATAATTCTCATGATGTCCCAATCGAATCAAATTTAGCTATACAGTTGGGTGTTTCAAAGAGAGATGATTCTGCAATTCAACTAGGACTTTTTCGTAATTGATTTGCTTAAAGTGTCCCCAGGTTCAAAGTAAATATCAATGAGTAATACCATCAAACTTAGGGTGTACAAGAACTGAATTAAAAGTTATTTAATCTTGATTTAAAATCCGAGGAAAACACATTCATCCCCCCTTCCCACCCCTTAAAAGGGTGCTGAAACATCTTTATGCAAACTTATTAGATTTATTTTCCACATAGAAATTGATGTGAAAATTATTATCGATTTTGAATGAATGGACAATGGATATTTACCTTGATTTTTGTGTTCATTTGGCAAAACAATCATGAATTTTTTCGAAACTACAATTTCCTCAATTCAAATTCATCTGATATCCGTAAACAGCAAATATTTTCAGAAATATGTATATATCTCGAAATTAATGCTGATGACTACGTGTCTTGTTTAAAAAGTTTACCGCTGTTTAATATTATTCCCACTTTTGAAGTTATGTTTGAATTCGCTTAAAACCATTAATGCAATCCCAATTTCTTCAAAGAGGACCACTTGCTTGAATCATTGAGTAAATTGTGCTTACTTTTTCAATGACCAACATTTTGCATGACTTGCTGTAGTTCTGCGTTCCTCAATTGGTTTAATCAATGGGAGGAATTAATTAATGCCGCCCAATAAGAAATTAAACTTTACTTAATGACTTGCTTAATAGGCATTTAACAATAAGGCAGAAAATCATCAGGAGTCCAAATTTACCTCAGTGGATTTCCATCCTCTTAAAAAGTCTAGTTCCATAAAACAGTGGGGTTTATGGGAACAAAAACTCTGTTTAAAATACTCGAGACATGGTTCAATTGATTTTTAATCTTCCCAGGAAAAAAGATCAATAGTGGTTTAACGGTACATCTGCCCTCGAGTTTGGAGACCGAAATCTAACGGCGCATATGAATCAATAGAAAGAATCTCATCCAATATGCACTTTAAGTGTTGAGCTAACTGTACAGATTACAATCAATTAAAAATATTGACTACATTGAATACCTGTTTGCCAAATTTTCTAAAATTGTAAATTTATTTATTTATTTCAAATGACAGGCGTTTTGATAGTTATCATTAGCCCTTTAGTTGACTTCGAGCTTCACAGAAAGGAAGATGAACATCCAAGTGGTAAAAAGCCGAGAGGGGACAGAATAATGATTCACAGACGTAAAAGAGACAGACAGACACAAAGGTAGAAAATAGATGAGGTGAGTACTGTGGAAGTAGTGGAATATGACATACAATGGGGTGATGGCAGTTTGAAGTGAGAAGTCAACTGCTGGTTAATCGACTTGCCGTATGAGAATACGTTGCCAAGGTTGCACCACGTGGAGGTAAGTCT